GCAGCGAAAGTGAAAGCTCTGCCAGCGGAAGGCTGAAGGCAGTAAGAATCGGTCTTTCAAGAGATTGCAAGGTTTTGAAGTTCTGGGTTCTTGGACCCTCCAAGTAAGAGTGGCTTCTCACAGCAGTGACCTCTGGCGCAGGCAAACTGGAGCCCCAAGATGGCCGAATGCAATGCGATACCAGCGGCTTGTGCGCTCGGGTTTGGCCCTCCCGCACCGCCCCCTGAAGCCGCGCACCGAAGGTCATTCTTGCCTAGAACCACTCATGCGTGTAGCCGAACGAAAAGCATGAGGACGAACACCGACAGTAGTTCCTGCTCATTCTGGAGGATCGGAGTCGCTGTCGGTGTCGCCGCGGACGCCGTCCACGTCGGACAACGAGTCGCCTGTCCAGCAGCGGCCACTGTCGGTTTGGGACAACAGTCGTCGCTGGGCATCTTACTCTTTTTTTCCGTGCCCACTTCGGGCGTCCGCAGGTGGTGGTCGGGCCCGACGGCAACCCGCTGGAGGCGGGCACGACACCTGCGCCGAGCTGTCCGCCGTCGGCGCGGAAGTAGCCGCCCGTCCACCCCAGAGCTCCGACGGTATGACTTTTCCAGTCCCCCAGACCATTGGATACCAGAATTTGTCAGTCGCGATAGTAAGCAATTGATCGGCACTGCAATTCGGTCGCGACCGATCTTGAAGTAAATCAGTCGCGAATGATACCAGAATTTGAAGCGAAATCGGTAGCGACCGATCTCGTCGGCCGCGGCCAGAAACTTCCTGCATCCAATGATCAGGGCCAGGCGTGGTTTTTCTCGATCTCAGCCTCGAGGACCCACCCAGCAGCTGTTCGAGCCTGGCTGGACTTTCCCAGGCCTCTTCGTCGCTATGGCCGGACCCACCCCGCAATTCTGGCCAGAACGCACCTTGGGAGAGGTCTGGAGGTTGTTCCTTGAGTCTTGTAACCGGCCGTCGGCGGATTGTTTTTTTTTTCAGCCGCGGCGCGTTCCTTCGATTTCGGCCTTTGGGGCCCGTTATTGGGCGCCAGGGCCATCTGGAACGGATCCAGGACGAAAATCACGCCGAGGGAACTTGAATCATCGATAAGATAGCTAATGAATTAGGGAGCTTCTAAGTGGATGCGAAAGTGGCTCATACCTAATGGCCTTCGGCCCATCCCGACACCGTGCCTGGGTTGTGGGTATGAAGCCTTGGATGTTCGTTGGGATCTCGTGGGAGGCCTCTCGGGGGCATCTTGCAGGCAGTTTTGAAGCCTGTTGGGGGACTCTTAGGTGCCTCCTGGGCCCCTCCGGGGTGCCTCATAGGGGCCTTTTGGGGCCCAAGGCTCGGATTATTGGTTCGTGCTGCCTCTCTTGGGCCCTTGTGGGGCCGTCTTGGGGCCCTCTTGGGCCGTCTTGGGCGCCTCTTGGGCCGTCTTGGGGCCCGCTTGGGCAGTTTGGGGACCCTCGTGGAGGCCTCTTGGGTAGTCTTGGGGCAATCTTGAGGGCCTCTTGGGCCGCCTTGGAGCATCGGGAAGCCGAAAAGGCGAGAAAGCCAAACACCTCCAAAACGCGAACGGAAATCAATGAGTTGTGCCTCTTAGGGGCCCTCTTGGGAGGCCTCTTGGAGGCCTCTTGGGGCGTCTTGGAGGCCTCGTGGGCCATCTGGAGGCCATCTTGAGTGTCTTGGAGCGATCGTTCGGCGACTCGGGAGCCTCTTGGACTGTCTTCGGGGCCTCTTGGGGCCCTCTTGACCCGTCTAGGGGCCCTCTTGGGCCCGAAAAAGTCACGCGACAAGATGCGGGGCAGCCCAGGGAAACCGCGGGACGCCCCAGGAGATTTGAGAATTTAGGACTCGTCAGGACTGAGGACTGAGGCTCCAGGGATTACGCAAAGGACCTGAGGACACGCCCACTCCGTGCCCAGAGGCACGGTGGTGGTGACGGGTTACCAATGCCGAAAGTTGCTTACAGAGGTTAGGTAATCCTGCTAAGTGGTCTCCGCCCACTTAGCCCAAATCTATGCCCCCGTTGGCCACTTAGAGCACTTGCAACCCACTTAACAGCCAGGTTAGGCTAGGTATAAGCCCACCCTGGCCATTTAGAATCCCCCTATCTCCTCAGCAACCCCAGCAGTGATTTGTGCCCCGGGGCCGTCATATAGAAATCTGGGACGAAGAAGCACGCCTGGGCATTTGGTCGGTTGTGTAGCTGGTCATGGGAGCCTTCGTGTTCCGTTATACGCCTGTCCTTGTTTTAAAGAGTCCGCATCTTGTTCTTGCCAGTTCCGCGTTGTTTTCGTGCCCCACGGCTGTTGTGCTCCGATGGCGCTAGACCCGTGGAGGGCGTTGAGCGTGTTCGAACGGAGGCGGAACGGAAGTAGAACGGACGCAGAACGCAAGTGGAACGAGAGCAAGCGCTTGAGCGTAACTCGAAGGTTCCCATGAACGGCTACGCAAGTCGGCGATTCTAAAGGGTGTGGTTACGCGGGAGTGTGGCTTGCGATCTGCGTCGTTGGGGCTCGGGGGGCAGCACCACGCTGCCTCGTCGGGCCTCCTCGGGACGCGGCGGAGAACTCTGTCGAGGTCCTCGCCCGCCCCTCAGGGTGCGGGTTGCAGACCACCCCCTTTGCAAACCACGCCCTTCGGAGTCGCTGAACAAGGTCGGGCTCCCCGTGCTGCCGCGCTCTGACAAAATTCGTATCGTCGGATGTCTTGGCACCGCCAAGGGCCGCCTTAAGTATCGCGTCGGCGGGGCCCGCCGCCAGCGGCGCTCTTGGCGCGCGCTCGAAGGTCGTTGCGGCGCATTGCCTCCCAGACCCCCACACGTTCTGACAAAAAGCACGAACTTCGAGGCTCGAGCTTCAAACTCTTCGAGGATCAAGGCTCCTTGGGCCTCTGGGGGGGCTGGCCGCTTCGATCCTCGAGGATCAAAGCTTTTTGGGCCTCAAAAAGCTTGTCGTCGCCACGGCTGGGTTCGCCTCCAAAGTCTTGTCAGAACGCACCCCAGGAGAGGTCTGGGGCCGATTTTTGAACTCCCATGCCCAGAACCCCTCGCGTCGTTAAAAGATCTGGACGGAGGGGTTCTTTGCTATTTGCTCCCCTGGGGAAGGGGTCGAGGCCTCAGGGGGTCCAGGTCTTGAAAGAAGCAGGACGTCGGGGGTCTGGGCTCGAGTGCCTCGCATCGGGCGCCTCAGCTGAAAGCGTCGGCTCGAAGAACAAGCACCGGCATATCCAAATGTTCTCGGAGGTTTGCGCGGATTTCTTGGGTCGGCGTTGGGCCCCCCTGGCGGCGCCTCTGGTGCGCTCCCTTGGCGCGCTCCCCACGCCAGGGAGGGGGGTCCGCATCCAAGAAGTCCGTGCGGGCCTCCGAGAATTCATATTGATACCGGTTTGTGTTCCTCTATCGGCGCCCGTGGCGGCGGAAACGGTTGCGGGAGGGTGCCGGCAGGCCTCCCTCGCATGGCGTTCCCCGGGCCTCTTACTTGTGCTGGACTGAGCCTTTTTTTATGTTGGTTGTGATTGTCGCATCCTCGTCCTTGCCTTCGAAAATGTTGAGAGATTAATCAACGCTCGCAGGGGTATCCTTGCATCCTCGAGTCTTCGGCCCATCCTTCGACGATTCCTGCGTGGACGGCCGAGGGCACTGCACCCTTACCTTGAATCATCCATCTGCTTTCGACTGCAACCGCAGACGCCGCCAAGAGGCATGTACGTGATGATTCCTGGCGGCGTCGTTGTCAGACGACTGCGAGGTGCACATGTGATGAATATGCGTACGTACTTACGCGCGCAATGTGAAGCGCGTCGGTGTTCAAGGGCCACGTGAAATGAGTAACGTTTCACTTTTGGCATGTAATGCGTGATGCGTGGTGTGCACTGCGTCCTGTTCAGCGACATGCGATCACACAATAGGGTGCAGCTACTATCAGTCATAAGGGGGCTAGAACAGGTAGACGAGTGAGGCGTGTTAGAGAAATTAGAAGAAGCAGAATAGCTGGGTGAGCTGGAAGAGCTAGAAGTTTATAGTAGCCGGAGTCAGTATATTAAAGGCTCACGTAGATGGTAGCAACATAGGGCGGTTCAGGTGCATGGGAAGATAGGCGAGTAGATAGCTAGGTGGCTAGATGAATTGCTAAGCTGTGAGATGGGTGGGTAGATGGAGAGAGATCGAACGAGACCTAAACAGGGTCTAGACGAGTAGGGGAGAACATCTATCGATCAGTAAATAAGTATGTGGCTAGGCAGATAGACGGGTTGATAATAGAAAGTTAGGTGGTCTTCAGGTTTAAGGTTCGGGAGTTCGGTCCACAGGAGGTCGGGTGCGATATCGGCGTCATGTCGCGCGTGCCAGGGAAAGGTTAACACACCAGGCCACCATGACCACCGTCATCATCACGTCTAGCGCCATTGGCCATCTCCGTCGTACATTGAAGCGCATGCTTAAAAAAAGATGGAAGAGGGCGTGCATAGTTACATCTTGCCAATCCGACGCGAATCCGATCGCAGACCGAAACTTGTACCGCTTCCCCTCCCTTCAACCGCCCTTGCACCCAATGGCTTATCGTGTGGGCACGTTGCCCGCGTTTGCGCAGCGTCCCGAAGTGACTTGTGGATGATGTCGGACTTTCTGCTCGTTTGCTCATGCACCCTGACCGAGGAGATCGGTCACTATCGATGTTGATTGAAGTGGCGGTATCGGCCGCGACCGATCTGGAGTGCCGATCGGTGGCTACCCATCGCGACCGAAAACATGAGCTTTCAATGATATGGACTGGAACAGGTCTTTATCCCGAGTCATTTTCTGGGGGCCCCGGGGCCGGGCGAGGGCCCCCAGAGGCCGAAGATGGCCGCAGCCCTCCCGCCGTGCCTTCTTGTTTCGCGGCGCGGCGGGGTTTGGGCTGGCTCGCACGTTGCACCCGACCCTCCGACGACGACGACGACGACGACGACGACGACGACAGCGACGAGTAGCCACGACGTCCCGCGCGGGCGCCGGGGGGGAGCTGTGCAGACGCAGCCTGGCTCCGAGGCTCGCAGCCGCACGCCCTGGGCGGCCCTGCCGCAGCAGCGGCGCGCACGCATGCGGCGCCACCTGCCAGGCCCTCTTCGATGATCCTCGGGACGCGTGCTCGTCCAATGTGTGTTAGCCCTGGTCAGCTCCACCGATAGTCGGCGGCGAGGCCGCGGCGGGAAGTGAGAAGGGGTGGGCCTTCTCAGAAGGTGCGGAAGGCCTCGGGCCTTCTGAGAAGTTTGCCAACCTTCCCCGAAGTCACAGAAAACTTCTCGGAAGGCTGGAGGGCTTCTGAGAAGCCCCGCCGCCTTATGAGAAGGCCTTCTCCTTCTCACTTCCCCCCCTCGCTCGCCGCCGAGATAGATCATCACCTGCGTCGTATTGAAGGGTTCCGATGGACAGACACACGCTGGCGCTGACACACGTTCTGGGGATCATCGACCTCCCCAGATCTCCGACGCCGTTCAGAGGAGCAAGAGGTCATGATTACGACACGTTCCGAGATCTCCAAGGTTTCCTGAGCTTCCATCATTTCCCAGTGTTCCGCGCCGGGCTGCGCCGCTAGGTACTCTGGAACTCCTGGAACGCATCCTGAGCGCTAGCCCTGGTCAGCTCCACCGATAGATCAGTACACCGCCTGCGTCGTATTGAAGGGCCCCGATGGACAGACACACGCTGGCGCTGACACACGTTCCGGGGATCGTCGACCTCCCCAGATCTCCGACACCGTGACTCTTTCCTCGCGGGGCGGGCGCCCAGAGCCCCTGTGATCCGAGCGTCGCAATTCTTTCGCACCTGGCGGTTTCGCCGCCTTCTGAGCCCCGGGGCCCTCGCGCATCGTTCCGACTCGAAAGAGGGCGCAGCAATATGTGGTCCAGGACTCCGCTCGTGAGTTGTCTACGATGTCGCAGTTTGTCTGTGGCGTCAGATCTCCTGGCGGGCACCCGGAGCTTCTGCCCGGTGCCCCAGGGCGGCCTTTGCGAGACCCCCGAGGGATCACCGCGGCGCGTAGGCGTGGAACCCGAGCTGTTGGACAGGAACGAGCAGGGTGTGGAGCCCCATGTGTATGTATGTGCGCGTGTGGAACATCGTGCGTGAGGAACCCCATGCGTGTGGAATCCTCCATGCGTTTGCAGCCCCACGTGTGTGGAACCCCGGAACCCCACGCGCGTGTGGAACCTCACGTGTGAGAAGCCCCCATGTGTGTGGAACCCCATGTGTGCGTGGACCTCCATGCGTGTGGAGCACCATGCGCGTGCAAGCCCATTTGCGTCAGACCCCAGAGAGTGTGGAACCCCATGCGCGTGCGCAACCCCATGCGTGTGGAGCCGCACGTGTGCGTGCGTGTGTGGAGCTCCGCGTAAGTGTGCGAATCGGCATCATCGCGTGCCGAATGTCATGCATGTATGTGGATCCTCGTGCAGCCTCGTGCGGACGGAACCCCATTTGGACCTGCAGCATCTCGAGCCGAGCCCAGGACCCCGACGCCCCGACTCCTCTTCAGCGCAGGGCCCTCGGGGGCCTCGACCCCTTCCCGGCAAATGTGCTCCAACCCGAGGCGGCAGCACAGCGCACGAGGAGCTCCGCGGCCTGCGTGCGCCGCCTTCCTCCTCCCCCACCTCTGGGGCCGCCCTCCCCCCCCCCTCTTTCTGGCTTTTCCCTTCCCACACCAGACGCCGCCTAGGCTTTCACCGCGCCGCGCGACCGCGGACTCCGCGGCACAGGAGGGCTCGGCCCGGGTGGTCTCTTGACAGCCCCACGGCCAAGAGCTCGAGGCCATGATGCTATGTCACGACGCGAGGTGGAGCCCGAATGGGCCCTCTGGCACATCGTGGGAGGGGGGGCTGGCCCGTTCTATCTGGGGATGGACTTCCCCAGATAGAACGGGCCAGCCCCCCCAATCGCCCCTCAGCCACAGCAATGGCGTGCCACGCCCCCATTTCGGCCTCGGCAAGACATGGCAGAGCGCCCTCCAAGATCGCAGCTAGCAACCAAGATGACACGATGGCCATGGCCTCCTCCTGAGTAATGAATTAGGCTTCACAGACGCCTTCACAAAGCCAGAAGGCGGCCCGAGGTGGCCACGGAGCCTCACCAGGATTGCCCCGAGATGCCGAAACAATTTGGAGCCTAAGGTGTTCAGTGATGCTGGCCGTAGCGCTTTTCGTCGTCCGCCTAATCTGGCCCTCAGGTCGCACAAGAGAGGAGTCCCCAGAAGGGCACGAGACGGACTCGGGTGCCCCCCCCTGAGGACCCCAAAAGCGCCCCAAGAGAGACCCGAGAGGGCCCCAGGAGATCTAAACCGCGAATTTGGCACCACGACCAGTACCGAACGCCACGCTGGTCGCAAGACGGCCCAAGGAGGGCTCCTCGGGCTCAAAGAACCCCAACAAGAGCCCCAAGAGAGCTCCAGAAGGGCGCGAGCAGAGTCCAGATAGGGACCCGAGAGCACCACCTAAGAGCGCCAAGGGATTCCCAAGAGGTCCCGCCCAACCCTCAAACCCGAGGCTCCGCCCAACAAGCATTCCCATTTGCTCCTCGTCCTTCACTCTTCATGCCGCGTTTGGCCAGGGGTGGCCACCGCGCCCGCCAGACTGCCAGCCACGTGCAGTCCACAGGCAAGGGTGGGGGAGGAGTCGTGCCACTCTGGGTTGCGCAGGGGGGTGGGTAAACCCTTGTCAGAAGCGGAAGGACCAGGGGGGAAGAGGGGGCTCCCAGAACTGCCGACAGTCAAGGCGCTGAAATAAGGAGCTTTTTGTTTTCGGGCCGTTCCTTAGATCTAGGTCGGGGGACCCACTCGAAGCCGAGACTCGCAGTGGCCAGAAAAGCTCCTTCGTTCCTCATTTAGCGCTCCTTCTGGTATGACGATCACTGTCCGTCCGTAGGACGGGTAGGGGGTAAGAACCCTCAAGTGCTGTCGTGACTCGCTCGCGACGCCTGGAGATCTGTTTCCCCAGACCCCCGAGGTCGTGATCTGATCGCAGCGTCGACCACTGGAGGTCTCGACCCGATTCCCCGGGACAAACTTTTCACCCTGGGTCGTGAGCCCCCCGCGCCCACGGCACCGTGGCACAAACCTTCACAGCACGAGCAAGAACCCCACCAAGCGCGCGGCCGCGACTCTGCTGCGACAACCGGAGATTTGGGCCTTCGGCGCCTCCAGAGGAACGCCGCAGCTTGGCATGAAGGCAAGCGGTCCGACTCAGAAGTGAAAATACTACCAATACTGTTATCCTCCCCTCGTCGCCACGGCTGCATTCGAAGTCTTGGCCAGAACGCTCCCCTGGAGAGGTCCGGGGAGTGGCGGCATCGGTGTGTTTTTGCCCCCCCATGGACCTTGGGACTCCATCAGGACCAGCTCTTCATCTTGGACCCTTTCTCGGCGGTCCTGGGGCCCGTTGAGGCTCCGTGGAGGGCTGAGGCGGGCCCGTCTCCCTCGAGACCCGCTTGTTTCATGGCGAGCAGCGCTCCCCAGACATCCGACGATGTGGTTATTGTAGTGGCCTTCGGCCAGTGCCGCCGATCCGGGTCGCTCGGGGTTATTCTCCAGACGCAGAAATTATGGGCGCACACTCAAACGCACACACACAGTCACACCACTTAACCTGCGCCGCAGACATGCGCACACAGCATCACCCACACACACATACTAGTTGGGAAACGCTCCTGTAGTACTAGTAGTAGTATTAGTAGTAGTAGTAGTAGTAGTAGTAGTAGTAGCAGTAGTAGTAGTAGTAGTAGTAGTAGTAGTAGTGTAGTAGTAGTAGTAGTAGTGGTTGTGGTAGTAGTGGTAGTAGTAGTAGAGGCCTCGTTCCGCGGCTTCTCTCGACTTCCCGCGGTCTCTCTCAAGTTTCGAGCACGCGGTGAGTTTCACGATATATGTGTGTGTATGTACGCGTGCATGCATGTATGCATGCATTGATCATGTGTGCCTGTGTGTAGGTACGTATGTATGTATGTATGCTTGTGCGCGTATGTATGTATTTAGTTTGTATGTATGTTTGTATGTGTGTATGATAATATGTGTGTATGTGTGTGAATGTAAGTATGTATGTCTGGAAGATTGTTTTTCTATGTATGCAAATGTGTTTAAATGTAGGTATGTATGCATGTGTGTATGGATGTGCGTTTGAAGAGCGAGGATGTTTCAAAGAAGAGGCACTCGGTGACGCGATCGTTGAGGGATAGGAGTGAGGTCGCAGAGGAGGAGGAGGAGAATGAGGAAGAGGCGATAACTTGAAGGAAAACGATGAGACGGAGGACATCCTGCCGGTGGCGCCCTGGGCGGTGCCGCGGAAGAAACCGGGGGCCTGCCGGAGGCAGTCTGGAGGCCTCTGGGGAGCTGTTTTGGGGCCTCTTGGAACCTCTTTTGGGCCTCTTGTGGGCTTCTTGGGGCCCCTTGGGGGTCTCTTGGGGCCTCCTGGGGGCCTCTTGGGGCGGAAAGCTCGGTTCTTTCGGTTCGTGGTCCCCCTCTTGGGCCCCTCTTGGGGCTCTCTTGGGGCCTTCTTGGGCTGTCCAGAGGCCCTCTTGGGCCGTCTTGGGGCCCTCTTGGGCCGTCTTGGGGCTCTCTTGGGCCGTGTTGGAAGCATCGTGGGCCGTCTTGGGACGGACTTGGGGGCCTCTTGGGCCGTCTTCGAGCGTCGGACGCCCGAAAAGGCAAGAACGCTAAAAACCCTGAGAAAACCAATGAAAATCAACGATTCTGGCCTCTTGGGGCCCTCTTGGGAGGCCTCTTGGAAGCTTCTTGGGGCGTCTTGGAGACACCTTGGGCCGTCTGGAGGCCATCTCGGGCGTCTTGGAGCGATTTTTCGGCGACTCGGGGCCCTCTTGGAACCCCTTGGGGGTCTCTTGGGCCCCCCCCCTCCTCCAAAGCGCCGGAAAAAGCGGAGCATGGCGCCCCCCCCCCCCCTATCTTCCACTCCCCCGGAGCGGCCCCGGGGTTCGCCGGAAACTCGCACCCCCCCCCCCCCCCCCCACCCCCCCTTCCCCGGCAGAGCCACCCCGGCGACCCCCCCAGAGGCTGAAGCTCAGCCTCGAGGCTGTAGCTGAGACTCCTTGAAACTCACACGCCGGATCGGCGGATTTCAATGCGCGGCACCAGCGGTCCAATCCCTCCCCCTGGCATGGCTTTCTGTCCTGGGCATATGTCAGGTTGCCCCGGGGCCCCTTCCAAGGCCCCCGACGTCATGTTTTTGTTTCATCATGACCCCCTGGAGTCTCGACCCATTCCCGAGGACCAGCTTCTCACCCCGAGTTTTTGGTGACGTTCTCGGGGCGCGGCCAGGGCCCCGAGAGGCTGAAAATAGCCGAGCGTTTCTCGTCGCGATTGGCAAAACCCGACGGATTGGGGAAAACATATCGTCAGATCTATGGGTCGTCGGCGCCTCCGCATGGCGCCGGCCAGCCCTCCGCGGCCACGGCACCGCGGCCGCCGCCGCCGCGGCGCCGCTGGCCCTGCTGCCGATGGCGCCGGCCGGCGGGTTGGCCCTGGAGCCAACGACGACGACGACGACGACGACGACGACGACGACGACGACGACGACGACGACGACGACGGCGGTGGCGGCGGTGGCGGCGGCGGCGGCGGCGGCGGCGGCGACTAGGACGACGACTTGGACGCTGACGCCGACGACGACGACGACGACGACGACGACGACGACGACGACGAGGACGCCGACGCCGACGCCGACGTCGACGACTTGGACGCTGACGCCGACGCCGACGACGCCGACGACGCTGACGCCGACGACGACGACGACGACGACGACGACGACGACGACGACGACGACGACGACGACGACGACGACGGCGGCGGCGGCGGCGGCGGCGGGAGCGGCGGCGGGAGCGGACCGCCGCCGCCGCCGCCGGGGGCTGGAGGGTCTCACGAGGCCGGCCAAGACAGGGCCAGCGGAAAAAGACACAGCGGGGGTCGATTGTCGCCCTCTTCGGCCTCCAGGGGCCGTCTTCGGGTCCGGCTCGGTCCCTCCTGGGCAGCTTCCGCCCCGCTTTCCTTCCACCCCCTCCTCACACGCCTGCCTTTGCACCTGGCCGTTCCCGCTTCCTGTTGCTCGCAGGCCCCGCTGGTCCCGGCGGCTTGGCCCGCAGCTCTCACTCCCGCTTGTTCCGCCCGTGTTTCCGCGCTGGTCCAACGGCGTTAGACTCTGGGTTGCGTCCTGCCGCGCTGCCACAGAAGCTGGTGAATCCGGCCTGCGCGTGCTGCACAACTGATCTGGTCTCCGCCACTTTGTGCCACTGGCGGGTCGGAGGAGAAAGTATGCGAGGGTTCGTTTGTGCGTGTATGCGCGTGTCTCCAGACTTTCTACGCCGCGCCGCCACGCGCGTGACCGCGACGCCAAAATAAGGTATGTGCGTGCACGCTTGAGTGTGCGTGTGTCTGTGTTTGTCTGTAGGTGTGTGGATGTGTGGGTGCTCTGGTACGCGAATGCGCGTGGACGTGGTTATGGTCGTGCGCGTCTGCGTGTGCCAATTCCTGTGCGTGCGCTTGTACATGTGCGCGTGCGTGCGTCCGTGCGCCGAGTGGGTCGGTGTGCATGTGGGTGTGCGTGCGCGTGCGTGCGTGTCCGTGGGTGCATTTGTGCGGGGCGAGGGGGGGTGCGTGTGGGTGTGTGCGCGTGCGTGCGTGCGGGGGGGTGGTCTGGGCCCTCCCCCCACATCGGCCCCCGGGGCCTCTCCAGGGGGCGCGCTTTGACCAGAACCTCGAGGGGAACCTCCCCGTGGCGGCGGGATCGCCCCAGGAGGCCGACAAAAGACACCGAGACCTGGATCCTCGGTTTTTGTGCCTTCGCAGAACCTCGACGCCGTGACTATTTCACAACGTGGACCCCCAGAGGTGTCGACACATTCCCTGGGATCAGCTTTTCGTGCTGGGTCGTTTTTGACGGTTCCGGGGCACGGCGGGGGCCCGCAGGGGCACAATATTCAAATTGACCGTCCGTCGCGGTATTTCCTCGACGCAAGGGGGTCTTGGGCAAGAGGCGGACAAGAAATCAAGACTTGGATCCTCGATTGGTGAGGCTCCAGGTTGCGCACAGACAGACGCCCCAGGTGGTCCCGGCTGGCCTCAAAAGGCCTCCCGAGTAGTCCCAGCTGGCCTCAACCCGAAGCCTTACGATCCTCGAGCCCTGTGCCACTTGCCGCGCCACACCGCTCCCCACTTCCAGGAGGGCGCTGGACAGCTGCACGAGCTGCCCGATGCGACGGCCTCGGCGTTGCGCGGCCGTTTCCTGGCGGCCCACGCGGGCGCGCCCCGGGGGCGGGGGCGGGCCCAGCACCGAGGGGGCTCCCTGCCGTTCGATTTTCTTCGACGCATTTCGGGGCCGGATCCGCATTGTAGCGGTGGTGGACATCATAGCCGCTTCACCACTGCCAATCCATCATATCTGTTTTCATTGGTGTCATTGTATGCGTAACATGCTCTCCCCTCGCGCCGCCAAAAATTCACGACGGGAGGTCTTTTGCTATGTTCGGCCTCTGGTGATCCTCGCCTGGCCCTGGGACCGTCAAGAGACGGCCCGAGACGAAAAAAGCTGGTCCCGGGGAATGGGTCGAGACCTCCGGGGATCCGCGATGTAACAGAGGCTCGCATGCCCTGGCTGTTGCACGAGGGAAGGCGAGGGCCAGTCGAGGCGCGGTGAGGGGGGGGGGCTCTTGGGGCCATCCTGGTGACCTCCTAGGACCATCATGACCATGATGGGGAGGCAGGGGCAGGGGGGCCCAGGGGGGCGACGAGCGAACGAACGAACGACGACGAAGATAAAGGGCTCCCGCGCCCTAGGCTCTAGGGCACAGCTGTGCACGAGAACCAAATCTGAACGTCGGGGGTCTGACGGTGGGTGGCGAACCCAGGGGGGAATTGTGAAGGGGCGGGTTTTCAGAAGCCCCCCTGGCCTCCTGCGAAGTTGTCTAAGCCTTCCCCGAATAAGCAAAATAATGTTTCAGAAGGCGCGAGGGTGTCTGAGAAGTCCTGCCGCCTTCTGAGACGGCCCTCTCCTTCTCACTCCCCTCGCTCGCTGCCGAGAGGAGGAGGCCTTGGAAGGGGCAGGAGGGCGGGGTTGGGGAGGGCGACGGCGAGGAGGCTGGGGGAGGGAAGGGCGGAGGGCGGCGGCAGCGCGAGGGAGGGGAGGGGAGGGAGGAGCGAGGGGCGTGGGGGGGAGAAGGGGGCAGCGAGCACGATTTCCTCCTCCTCCTCCTCCTCCTCCTCCTCCTCCTCCTCCTCCTCCTCCTCCTCCTCCTCCTCTTCGGTCGGTCGGTCGGTCGATGAAGGCCTCTGAGTCCCGCGGCCTACCAGAAGAGCAAGTGCAGTCAGTGCGGCGACGAGGGACCCCAGAGACCCCAGAGACCCCAGACGCGGGACAGGAGCCAGGCCAACGCACCCACCCAAGATGGGGAGACGCCAGGAGGGAAGAGAGAAGGCCAGGAGAGAGGGAGGCTGCAGGGGGGGGGGGTGCGTAGGCCCAGGACCCGTCGACCCACCCCCCGACGGGCACCCGTGGAGAGGACCGGAGGACCGCCAGCATTCCGAGCCACGCCCAGCAGCACTGACTGCACGGCGTGCGCCCTTCACCCGCACGGCACCGTCCCCACCAAGCACGCCCACGCAGCGCCAGACAGGGCAGAGTCAACTCGGGCCGCCTCCCTGCTGACCCCATGCCGAACCACTGAGCCAGGCATGTCGTGGCCAAGATGCTCTGAGGCCACGTGGCTCAGCGCATGCCAGCATACACGCCAATTGACGACTGCCGTCGGACCTGAAACACTCTGACGCAATGATGTACAGCACACGCCAGTATACACGCAAAGTGAGAGCCTGTGATCAGTGGTCATGCCAATCGAATTGCCATGTCAGCACTCTGAAGCGATTGCGCCATTACACGCCAATGAGAGACACTGAAGCAGGTACCAAGGACCCTGAGAGATGCCAGCACTCACCTTCCAGTATACACGCCAATGGGAGCTTTTTAAAACAATGGCGCAAAGTACATGCCTGCACCCTGATGCAATGCCAAGAACTCAGATATGCCAGTATACACGCAAGTAATGCCGAAAGAGAGGCCATGCCAGTACTCTGAAGCAGGATGCCAGTATACGCCAAGTGAGCGACTCTGTGACAAGATGCCAGGGACTCAGAGAGATGCCAGTACACACGCTAAAGGAGAGACTCGAAGCGATGGTACACAGGACCTACCACAATGCGAGAAGCCAGCCATAGACCCAAGCGTCAATATCGAGGGTCCTCGGGATTCCGACACACACACACACATCATGGATTTCCCCTGTCCCATTGTTGAACTCACAGTTGACGAAGCCGAGCTGCCTGACCCGATGCACGAACTCACGGAACCTTCGCTGCAGCAGTAGTCTGAGGGTCCCAGGCGCAAGAGGCGTAGACCCTCCCGCGAAGCATCTCTGGAGCACCAATTCGTATTAGTATTACACAGTGGCCTGACATTTCATGCCCTGAGCCTCGAGGAGACGGCATGTCTTGAAGGTATCAGCAGCCGCAATGGGGTCTGCGAGCTCCTCGGGAGTCAGCTCGCCCACGAGTCCCTCGTCTGCGTTCGGGTTGCCGAAGGCCGCGGCGGCCGCAGGCGGCTCCTCGCTCTCCACGTCCGCGTAATCTTCCAGGGCCGACGGAACAGCAGGGCGTCCCTCAAAGAAGACACCCTCCTCCACGCTCGCGTCGTCCTCGTTGCCGTCACTGGGCGAGCTGCCCCTTGACGGAGGCGCCCTGCTCGGGACTGGCGCGCCGCGCCTGCGGCTGAGGTTGGTGCGCTCACCGCCCCCCCCCCTCCCAGGAAGGCGACAGGCGCGCTCTGTTGTGCTTCCCGCGGCGGCGCCGGCTGAATCAAAGGCGGCTGTGTCCAAGGTTGCTGAGGTTCGACCTGCGTCCAGGGTGGCGGCGTCCACGTTGGCGTCCAGGGTGGCTGCGCCCAGGGTGGCTGCGTCCAGGTCGGCGCCAAGCGCCCCGCCATGCGCGCAGCCGGTCACGGTGGAGGCTCCAGAGCCTGCGGGAGCGCTGCGCCGAGGCGCGTCGGCCAGCAGCCCCTGGTGTCAGAGGTCAGCGAAGGACTGGAGGAGGGCCTACACAGCCGGGGCCTGAGCCCGTCCCGCCTGGGCGCGGCGCGCCGCCCCCGAGCGCCGGGGCCGTTGCGGGCGGCCATGTGCCGAGAGCCAAGGCGGAGGGGCCATTCCTGCCGGGGGCGCGGGCGAGGGGGGTGGTTGGGGAGGGAGGGCAGTCGGCCGCCGGGCCGCTTGGCGCTGGCTTGCAAGGCCGGGATGCCTGCTCGGAGCCGGCGCTCTCGCGCTCTCCTCTCCCGCCTCCTCCGCCTCCTCCTCCTCCTCCTCCTCCTCCTCCTCCTCCTCCTCCCGGCTCCTTCGGTAGCCAGCCTGGCTCAAGTTCAAACCATGGCCCCGTGGCTTGAGCTTGCTCAAGAGGTTCAATTCAGGCCTCCAGGATGCCTAGGCATTCTTGCCCTACCCACATCAGGATTATAGTGGGCGGTGCCCTCTAGACACTGTAGACATCAAGATCTCTGTGGGTAGGGTGCCCGAATGCTTTTGGGAGTGTTTTGGGGGGTGGCGGGGCGCGCTCTCGAGAGCGCATCGTGGAGCACTCCTTGGAGCTCTCCTGGATGTTTTTGTTTATGGTCCCGCGCTTCTGCGGGCAGCCCGCCTGCGAAACAAGAGTGCGCAACACAACACACAAACATTTGGATGTTGACACGAAGGCGTATATTCTGTAATCATATACGGGGGAGCGTGGATACTTTGCTTTTTTCCTAAGAGGAGAGGGATGGACGGAGAAGCAAATAGGAGCGAGGATGATTGCTATTCCTCCGCTGTCTGGTGGCCTCGCAGACGCAAGCTGTGATCATGGCTGTCCCGCATGCCATGCTTCTACACACTGGAAACACTGCTTCAGCGCCGATGCATCCACAACCATTGGGTCCACTCCTTCTCCCTCGTACCTCTTTTGCCACCCTCCTCCCCCCGCCCTGTCCCTCCACAAACCCTTCCCCCTCCCCGCCCCCAGCCCCTGCTCACCTGCCCTCCTCGTCACCCCCTCTCGTCCCTTCCCCCCACTGGCGCCCAAGACACCGAGAGCCCGCTACCCTAAACCACGTATCTAGTCTGAATCTGAATCGGTGTGTGCGTCGAGATGGCAGTGGGTTCTCGGCATTGCTAGTGCTTGCTATGCGGACGGCCTCTTCCGCAACAGATCCTTAAACTGAGATCTGGAATTTCATGGCCTGCTGGCATCGCGTGTGGAGTGCCTGCGGGAGCGATTATTTGGATCCCCCCGCGTGGCCGAATTCCTCCAGGGTCCTCGAAACAGCGGTCCGAAGGGTGACTTTGTCCTTGGGCTTCTTGAGCCTGTGCAAAAGCAACCCCGTGAAAAACACTGTCGTGCAATTCTTGATCACGGTCTTGGCCTCAGAGATTTTCTTGTCCCCCGTGAGAGGGATCATGAATTTCGTGCTGGTGTCCTTGACCTCTCTCATTGCCTGCAAGAGGTGAGCGCAGCGAGCTAGATAAGAGCGGGAGGGCACGCGAGCGATAGGAGTGATATGATGCATGTCCGGACGGGGGGGAGAGGGAGAGAGGAGGAGCGGGATGGGGGAGATGAGCGTCAGAAGAGAAGCGGGGGAGTGGCAAGAGGAGGGAAAACGGGTTACGATGAAGATGAAGGACAACAGATCCGACGGATATATTTCACGGCTGGGGTCATAAGTAGATGAGGTTACGAGGAGTGATAGGGCAGCAGGGGGCAGGGAGATACGGAGGGGACAAGGAAGAAACAGGGCCATGTGGGGGGGGCGGAGGCAATGACGTCAAGGATTGATGGGGAAGAGGTTCGGGCGATGACGGGACGGGGCGTGCGTGAGATGAGCGAACGAGGGGAGTGAGGGAATGGGATGGTGGAGTTCGGGGGCGGCAGAAAATGGGAGTGGGCAGGAATGGAGGGATCCTCCTCCTCCTCCTCCTCCTCCTCCTCCTCCTCCTCCTCCTCCTCCTCCTCCTCCTCCTCCCTCCTCCTCCCCCCCCCCCCCCCCACATCCTCATCCCCCTCCTCCCCCCCCTCCTCCTCATCTTCCTCCTCCTCCCCCTCCCCCTCCTCCTCTCGTGCTCGGGTGCAGCAGGGAGGGGCTAGGAGAAATAAGGCAGAGGGTGTTTGATGGGTGGAGGGAGGGATCCATGAGCGAGCGAAGCGAGGAGGAGGAGGAGGAGGAGGAGGAGGGAGGAGGAGACGCAGGAGGAGGAGGAGGAGGGGGAGGAGGAGGAGGAGGAAACGCAGGAGGAGGAGGAGGAGGAGGAGGAGGAGGAGGAGGGAGGAGGAGGGGCAACCTACCACACTCGAACGCCACCTCCGAATGCACTCTGACAGCTGCTGTATGCAGCTACCCCTCCCCCCAGCTGCGGCCTTGTTCGCGGCGTCCAACGGCTTCTTCAGCGAAGCCACGCCACCATCCTTCATGATAGTCTCCTGGGCGTACGCCCAGAAGTCAGTCCACTTCGCCCTCCTCGGAGGGTCGAGCCCGTCGAGCCAGCACTCTGCGTCCTTGAGCGGTACGGCAAGATCTGGGCGACGGCCCCGGCCAGCTCGAGCTTGTTGTTCTTCATCGTGAGCGAGCCCGCCCACTGCAAGCGTCCCTCCGCCTGCTTCATGACGTCGTCGAGCCGTTGGACGTGCCTTTTGTGGTCATCTTGCTTGCAGAGGTCGCTGTGGTGCTCGGTCAGTTCGCCCATCAAGAACTGCAGGGTGTTCACTAGCACGGGTTCCACTTTCTCTGATGTTTGCTCCATGCCTGTGGTCGCAGCACCCAGGGCCTTCAGCTGGGTGTCGATGGAGCGAGCGGTCACGAGCGCGTGCATCACCTTCTGGACCACGGGCTCGCCGTCCCTGCCGAGGGACTGGCACGCGTCGTCGACGACTCCACCGATGCGGTCGACGTCAGCATCTGGAAATACATCCAGGGCGGCATCGCATAGGCCGTCCAGACCAGCAACGATTGTCTCCACCAGCTCGTCTGGCAAGGTCTGCAACGAGTTGCTCCTCACGAGGCCCTCGATCTCAGAGAGCTTCTCATGGGCGCCTTTTGCAGTTGTCGCGGCCCCGAAGGCCGACGCAAAGGCAGCGTGGACCCCAGCAGTCTGCATCGGGTCTCCACCTCGACTTTCCACACAGGGATCTGGGCGTCTGTCGGGAAGACGTTGCACGCCGCCTGCGATGCCGAAACCGCTCGGCGAAACATGTCCCCGCTCTTGTCGCCATCCCCCAACATAACACCTGCGACCTCCTTCACCTCGCCCAGAACGTCTGCCCGAATCTGAACTTTGAATTCTGCGGGGATCGCGAATATGACCGTTGGCAACATCTTCAATATCTCGGTGAGCTCGCCCCAGAACTCATGCTTGTGGCCCCCGCCTGCACTGATCGCCTGCACTGATCGACTCGCGGCGTGTGTACTCAGCGACGTGATCCCTGCACTGACAGTACGCGCGGCGAGCCTCCTGGAACTTCGCGGCGCTCATCATGACGAGCTGGATGCGGTCGCTGTAGAAGCCCACGTCGGAGACGGACGGCGCAATGCTCTTGGCGATGCCCACCGGGTTGTCGATGTTATTGATCTCCCTGACGTCGTTCACGGCGTTCTCCCCCTGCTCTGTGCCAAGAACGGTCTCCAAGTTAGCAGGGTAGCCATGGCGTTGCATGTAGTGGTGAGCTCGCACATGTAAGATGACGTGTCACTGCAATCATCGCCCAAGATATCCATGGTGCGCGTGACCCACTCCTGTAAAGTGATGCACACGCGCATGACTGCATTGGCAGACTCACCTCCTTTAGAGATGTGCGCGCACAACAGCCCCTTCAGGAACTGCGCCTTGAAGAGGGCCATCTTCTCATCGAAAGAGGCGGCGTCGACGAACATGAGCCGAGGGTCCTTGATGTCAAAGGCATCCTCGAACGTGGCACAGCTCTTCTCGTGGGCCAGTGCTGGTACGTTCCAAGGCCACGAGTAGGCCAACAATGTGGTGATCTTCTCGTCCTCACTGGTAACTCCCGTCTGCGTGAAGATCTGCTTGTAGCTTTTCTCCCAGAGCGTGCACATCACGGCGCCTGGGATCTTGACGATGGCCGAGAGCTTCTCAAACGCTTTCTCGCACTCACTCTTACTGAGGTCCTTCAGGTTAGTAGGGTTCAAGCTTTCGGCCAGCACCCAGTTGGCCATATGCTTCTTCAGCCTCTTGCTCTGGTCCTCCATGCTGGGGTTCTTCTCCCAACCTTCGATCCGACCTTTTGCGCGGTGGTAGCTCAACCTCTGCTTCTCGAGGAGCATCGCGCCCACGAGGCTGAGCTTCTTGATGTACGTTGTCGCGGAGTCAGTAATGTCATCGCCCTCGCCGCCACCGGTGAGGCCGGCACTATCACCCACGTCGTCTGGGATACCCTTGAGCGACGGCGCCCTGCTCTTGCCGCCGGCCGCGGAGCCTGCCGATCCGAGCTGCTGAAGCCCAACTTTCTGGACATGGTTGGGCTGCCCACTCCCGGCACTCACCAGGCTCTCGCCGACGCGCGACTGATCGGGCGACGGCGTGAACAGAATGTTACCGCAACCTGGACCTGGGCTCTGAACGGGGCTGCATCTGCTAGACGCCCCCGAATTGCCGACGGCTGCGACGGGCAGGTTGGCCACGGCGCACGCCTTCTCAACGGCTTTGAGAGGGAGATCCGCCGTCTCAGAGAACTCTCGGATCGTGTGGAAGTCTTTTTTGACCAGGCTGTCGAAGTCATCCGAAACTTGTTGCTTCGTCTGCTCCGCGTAGAACTGCATCCCGACGTCCATCGCGATGGTCGCCGCGTCGCTATCAATTGTGAAACCGACCTCCACCGTCCGAAGGGGGCTGTTGACCTCCCAAGTGAACAAGTATACCAACTCATGAGGGCCAACGGGGTCTGTGTCGCACGGGATGCGGATGGTAGGGAGGTTCTTCACGTCTTCCTTCAACGGCTGCTTGCCGAAAATTGATACGCATTCTGAGGTGCTCATCGCTGTCCATTTGCGGTAGACCTTGACCGTGTAGGAGCGTGATTGCTGAACGGTCTGCTTAACCAAGTCCACTGAATCTGGTTGGGCACGGGCTTTCTTGGCCCTGTCCCACTTCTCCTTGAACACTGGGTCCGCGCACTCCTCGGCGGCCTGGGCCACGCCCATATAGCTGAAGCAGTCGACGAACACGCCAGCGTCCTCCGCGCACATGGTGAACACGTCCTCCTCACGAGAGAAGAACTCCACGAAGGGTGTCTTAACCTCTCGGCGCACTACAAACACTCACAATAGGCCGTCCCCCATTCCCCCCACAGAGCTGCCCCACAAGCTAAATGAACGCCACAGGTCCCAGGAAACTGTTAAGGCGCCAAACGGGCCCAAAGAGGGCCCCACGAGGCGTGCGCAAGGACGGGGGAGACATGGTAAACCATGTCATATGCACCCCCCCACCCACACACACACACACCACCCACCCACCCACCCACCCACCCACCCACCCACCCACCCACCCACCCACCCACCCACCCACCCACCCACCCCACGCACGCACCACACCACCCACCCACCCACCCACCCACCCACCCCCCACCCACCCCCCACCCCCCACCCCCCCACCCCCACCCCCACCCCCCACCCCACCCCCCCCACCCCGCCCCCCCCCCCCTCCCTCTTAGAGGGCCCTAAGGTAAGCCCAAGAGGGCCCACCATCGCTAGATAGACCCCCCGAGGACACATAAGAAACCCTAGAGGATGGGGGGGGGGGCATGGACATGCCCATGTCGACTTGGTTTTGCAGTCTTGAACCGAGCCCCTGTGGGCGAAGCAAACGCAGCAACTGTCTCCATCTTGAGCATGTTTCACAGCCAGGCGACTGCGCTTCTTCGAATTACCCACCCTGGCGGCACGGGCACGGGGGCCAGAAGAATGACTTCCAGAGCGGCATCGCTTCTCTCCCTTGGAGGCCATCGCGTGCACACGCATGAGCCTGTCGGAGCCTGCACGGGCAATGCGCAACGCGAGCTCCCGCGCGGTCTGGGCCGTGCAAAGGCTGATGGTAAGTGTTGGTGAGCGGGGTTCGGGGGGGGGAGGAGGTGGTGAAAGACGCCGTTCCCCCTATCCAAAAATAATAGACTCCCCAAGCGCATTGGTCATATACTTCGCTTCCCCAACTCTTGCTGCTCCTGCTAATGAGTCGTTGGCTTTTGTTTCCGTCTGCGCACCCTGTCTGGATCATGTGTTCCCCCACCCCCGTCGGCTACGGCATGTGGCGTTGTTTTCTACATCTATATGGGCGGTATGCCGCTGTTGTTGGTGCGGTGTGTATCGCCCAGCCCAGTCAAGGACGTATTGGCTGTTTTTTTCTTAACCGAGTAGGCATTGTCGCGTTTCGGTCCGCCCTCAGATGCTCTGGAATGGTCAGAGACTCCGAGGGCGGACCGAAGCGTGACAGAGGCTACGAGGGGCCACTCAACCGCCAGAGCCCCTTCTGAAGTCGGCCAGAACCCTTTCTGATGCCCTACAGGTTAGGACGCACTCAGGTGCAACCAAAGGACATGGCAAACAGACGATGGGACAATGGCGATCACAGGCATGAGGCCGCCGAGGCAATAACAACAAGACGCAGGATGCCTTGAACGCCAGGCGGCGTCGCAGAGCACAGATCCCGACGTGCTTGCAGCCACGTCATCTGGTCAGCTTCGTCACAACCCCTGGGAGCAGGGGGGGGGCGAGGAGGAGGAGCAGGAGGAGGAGGAGGCTGAGGAGGACGAGGAGGAGCAGCAGCAGCATCAGCAGCAGGGGCAGGAGGAGGAGAAGCGGGAGGCGCCCCTCAGTGCCAGGAGGAGCTCCTTGGAGGCCCTATGGAGGCTCTCTGGGGGTTCCCTGGGGGCTCTCTGGGGGCTCTCTGGAGGCTCTCTGGAGGCTCTCTGGGGGCTCTCTGGGGGCTCTCTGGGAGCTCTCTGGGAGCTCTCTGGGTGCTCTCTGGGTGCTCTCTGGGGGCTCTCTGGGGGCTCTCTGGGGGCTCTCTGTGGACTCGCTGTGGGCTCTCTGGGGGCTCTGGTGGCTCTCAGGGGGATCTCTGGGGAGGGGTGGGGCTTTATGGTTGCTCTCTGGGGGCTCTCTGGGGGCTCTCTGGGAGGGGGGTGGGCTCCCGCGAAGAGCCCCATGGGGGCACTCCTCGAGGTCCCAGGGCCCCCGCGAAGAGCCCCAGGGGGCACTTCGACAGACCCTGGACCACTCCCAAGAGCACTCCTCGAGTGCCCGAGGCTCTCTGAAAGCACTCTGGAGGCTCTCTGGGGGCTCTCTGGGGTGAGTGCGCGGGTGCACGAGGGGCCCAGGGAGCTCTCGCTGGACGGCGAGGCTCGAGCCGAGAGCCTCAGGGGGCACTCGAGCGGAGACCACGGCGATGCAGAGCGGTCCCAGAGAGCTCTCGTGCGCCAGGTCCGCGAAGCGGAACGCAACCCTGAGTCTCTGGCAGCTGCGTCCGCCCTCTCCGCCAATGAGCCGCTCCCCATCTGCTGTTGTACCCCCCCCCTCCTCCTGCGCTCCCTCCTCCTCCCCCACCCCTCCTCCACCCCCCCCTCCTCCTCCTCCCCCTCCTGCTCATCCTCATCCTCTCCCCCCCCCCCCCCCCCACCCACCCCACCCCCCACCCGCCCCCCCCCCCTCCTCCCCCCCCCCCCCCCCCACCCCACCACCACCACCACCACACCCACGCACACACCACACACACACACACACATACACACACTTACACACACACACACACATACACACATCCCCACACACACACACACACACAACACACACACACACACACACACACACACACACACACACACACACACCACACACACACCAACACACACCACACACACACACCACCACCACCACCACCACCACCACCACCACCACCACCACCACCACCCCACCACCACCACCACCACACCCGCCCCCCCCCCCCCAACCACCACCACCACCCCACCACCACCACCACCCACCCACCCACCCACCCACCCACCCACCACCCACACACACCCACACACACACACACACACACACACACACACACACACACACACACACACACACACACACACACACACGCACGCCCCGCGGGCCTCCCCCATCCATCCCCCTTCAATGTTCCCCCCATGGCTCTCCTCCTGTTCGCCCTCCTCATCCCCTTCCTCCCTACCCCCCCTGGTCCACGCGTTTTCCCCGAAGGTGCGCGTTCAGGCTCAGAGCCCCACGCACGCACACACACACACACACACACACACACACACACACACACCCCCCACCCCCCACCACCACCACCCTTCCCCCCCCCCCCCCCTTCCCCCCCCCCCATCTCTCTGAGCGCGCACGTGCCTCTCAAGCCCGTCGCCCCAGACGGCCCGAATCTCACGGCGAGCTACACTGCGAGCGCGTTTATCTATGCCGAATGTCAGAAAGAGCGGGTCCCTGCGTGAAACCCCGTCGTCTTTGCATTGCTGGGCCGCCTTGACCCAGGCGGCGAGGAGGCCCTCTGGGCGCCCTTGCGGCCCTGCTTTGCCAGCCCAACTTGCCCTACTCAGCCTACAATGCTTTCCAGAGGCCAATTTCGGGCAAACTTTGCACGTTGCTTCAAAGGTGCCGTTGCTATAATACGAAATCGTGCCGCTCCTGAAATGGACGGTCTCAATGGCCGCCGCGCGCTCGACCGAGCTGGCAACACTTTCAGCGCGCTCCGTCCGAGGCGCGCTGGCTGGAGGGGCTGGCGGAGGCGGGAGAGGGGGCGGAGGCATGGGCGGTTCCTCTGGCTCAGGAACAGGGGGCGGTGGCACAAGAGGCCCCGAGGCAACGCAGTCATCGGGCTGATCAGGCATGCCTCCAGAGCCGACGCCACCGCCAGGGCCCACGTCGCCGAAAATGTCATCCTCGAGATCGGGGGCTGCAGCGACAGCGCCCGCTGGGTCCACCTGCGGATTGCGATCGCATGGATGTCCGACGACTGCCCACTTGCACGCCTGACCCCAGCGCTCTACAGCGAGGGGGCGGCTCGCGCCCCACGCTGGAGAGAGCACGAGGCAGCGCACATAGGATTAAGTAGACATCCGTGCTGCACGAAGCCACCTCGTCCTCCGTATCGGGCTCGGCCGCCGAGCCCCAGAAGATGTCCTGGTCCCCGTCCCCCTGCGAGTCGCCATCGCCCTCGGCGTTGGACTGGTTCTCCTCGGGGTCAAGGTCGCTCTCTGGGTCCACGTCACCGTCCTCAAGGGCATGGTCAGGACACCCATGCTTCTTCCGCTGGCTGTCTCTCCCATTCCAGAACATATCAGCACCCCCTGCCAGCGTGAATGCAACGACGGCAACGTCAGCTGGCCGAAATGGGACCACGCGTGCATTGTCCAACATATCAAACCAATATACTTGCCATTTCCGATCAGTATCAATCTCGGCGAAGGCGTGCCACTCAACCAGTCGCGTATCCGTGGCCTCTGGAGGAGCGCAAGTTACAAAAACATTCATTATTCCTATCATTCCCCCGTATACCTCCTCCCCCCCTCTCCCCCCCGTCTCTCCTATCCTCTCCTCCCTCCACCTCGCCCATGTGCCGTTCTCATTGCTCTCCCCTCTGAGGCCCTGGCCCAAAGCGAAAACGCTTACACCCCAAACGGCAGCCACGCGGCATGCTGCCACGTATCTGACCTGGCGGGGGGAGGCCCCGCGCCCCAGGCAACCGAACGCGCTACGCCTTGGAAAAGTGTAAAACAACAGCACGCGCCCGGAAGAGTGCGCAAAGCTTGATGGTTTTGCGTGTTGGAGTGTTTGTCTAGGGGGCCTAACTACCGAATAGGTTTTGACCCCCCCCCCCCCCCCTGAGCCATGAGGTTGATCTCGATGGCGTCGCCGTTGTTGACCTCGCTGATGTAGCGCAGAACTCTGAAGCCAGACCAGTAGGGATTGTAGCTGTGCGCGGACACGTGGAGCCAGGACTCGGAGGGTCTCGCGTGGTCGTCGTCTGCTCCATCCCACGGCGATGCCTCGTCACCGTCAGCGTCCTGAGCGACCAGTCTGGCCACGAGCTTCCTCTCATCTAACTTCGCCCGTCCTGCCATTTTCTTCTTAGTGAAGCGCTTCAGGGAGACATAGAATGCTTTCCGAACTCGCGATGTGGCCTGCCCCCTAGGACCACATAAGCAAATACCCACTTGCCAACATGGAGGAATGGGGGGGCGCGG